GGCCCCAGCGAGCGCAGGCCCAGGAAATCCGCCCGCAGCCACAGGCTGTGCACAGGGGTGGAGAGGGGGGGCAACGTGAGGAAGTCCACAGACCCGGTGAGAGCGGCACCCCGCGAACCCTCGCCCTCAGAGGGGGGCTTTATCCGGCCCTCATGGCTGACGCCAGACGTAGCCTTGAGGCTCCTCATCTCCATCGACAGCAAACGACCGAGGGTCCTTTCAGCGTCCAGCTTAGAACCCTTTGCCCCGAATAGAATTGTGCACTCGGGGAACCAGTCGGGTGCGGGGCCGCTCCCCAGACGGTCCAACAGAGAGCGGCGCTGGCGCCTCTGACAAACAGGGAAATGAGAGAAAAGCCAGTTTTCCCAAAGGAATCCTCCCCCAGAAGGAACGACGGCTGTACTCTTGAAACCCACGGGTCACTTCTGAAAACGGCAGTAAAAAATCTCCATCCTGAATTTCCTCAAATCTCAGGCAGGGGCTGGCTCTGCCTGTGCTACGGGTCTGCGGCTGAGAACCTCAGGACAGGGGTCACCCACTGGAGCCAGTTACCAGTCACCCCCAAAAGCAAAGGGTGCGGCTGCTACTCAGGACTGGCCAACCAGCAAGGGGAGCAGAGCAGAGCCCAGGGGTGCATGACAGCAGCTGCGCCCGGCTGGCCCTCCCTGAGCCCTGCTCCCACCTGCCCCTGGCTGTGGGGGCCACCCCGACTTCGTAGGCAGATGCAGAGGTGATGGATGCTGTTCTGACACCCGCGAGCATCACATGTGGGGAACGCTTAAGACGCCTCCCGCTCCCCTTTCGCTTTGACCCCAAATGAAACCAATTATTGTTGTTATTCATCACTGTTGATCTGAAAGCTATCTGGCTTTTAAAAATCAAATAAAGCTCCTACAGTAACTAAACTGGGTATTTTCCACCAAATGTTTCTGCAAGTTCTTAAGGCAAGGGAGCATCGCTAGAATATTCTGAAGAGACCGCAGCTTCAAAGATGTGCCTGCAGTTTGGATGAAAGTGGAGGTAACCAGGTGAAGGATAATAGGAAAACAGCTCTGAGTAATGTTGGTTAAACAAAGCTTGCCTCCAGGTGCTGTCTGCGTGCGGCTGGTGATGAATTAGTTATGATGTATTTATTTGCACCTTTTTTTCTGTCTTTATCAAATCACTGCTCCTCACACTCATATAGAAAGTTCTAAGAATAGACACTTTAAATTACATTCTCAGGCCTTCCCTGGTGGCTCAGCAGGGTAAAGCGCAGCGCTGAGAAGCTATCGGCAGCCACTGCAGCACAAGTTCAATCCCCAGCAGGGAGTGCTGGGCCTCATGGCGCGGCAGACCCCTCCTGCCTCCCCGCTGCTCCCTCAGCAGTGGGTTTCAGTGGCTCTGCCTGCTTTGCTCCCCACGCTGTCTCTGGTGGATCTTCTCTTCCCCACACCTCTGGCCTACACCCCAGTTCTGTACGTATAAATAAAGCTTTTTTAAAAATTACATTCCCTGTGCAGTTTTCTTTCCTGTAGATGTATCAGAAGGGCCTAAAGCGGATTTGAGGTGGGAGGCGACCTTGTGGAGCCCTCCCTCTGGTTCTGACGCGTCTAACTCTTCCAGCACCTCCCCGGCCTGTGACTGGTAAGACAGATTTGTGAAAAACTAATGTGTGTTCCGGGGGGTTGGGGTTTTGCTTGTTCCCTTTTCTCCACTAGAGTGGACACCCCGGGTGAAATGCTTCCTCCGCCTGATAACCAGCGTGTCTGCTAACAGCCTACAGCAGCCACGGCCGGCAGGCGGGCAGGAAGGTCTCTCACGGCTTAACTCTGACCTCTGTCCTTGCGGCCCAGAGGCAGCACGGCCACCCCACTGGCGGGCCGGCTGGCCCCGACGATCCCTGTCCACTGCGGGTCTGCTGCGGGTCCAGCGGCCACAATCTCCTCTGGTTTTGCAGTTGTTATCTCATTGACTGCGTCACCCACCTGTGCGGCTGTTCCCGTTACG